CCCTGCCGTTGGACCGGCACCGGGTACAAGGAAGTGATGACGTGTTCATTATTATTGGCAGTCGCTCTTGAGTTTCACCTCTATGTTGAAGGAATCTATCCAGCTCAGACGCACAAGCGGCCGACATTGGTCCATGCTAACAGTGAGACGGTGCCGGCTCAGCATCAACGTAAATGTTGCAGAGGATGGTTGGAACGATGAGTTCACTTGTCCGTCCAGGATACTCAAAATAACAGAACACGGCAAGCCTATGTGCTGTTGTGATCACGGCATCTAGAGTCCTTGTGACAACCCAAACAGAAAGACTACCCATCCTGATCCAATATGAATGGCCATGACAACCTCCCTCCCTTCTCCCTCCCATTTCTAAGGCTTTCTGTACCGCCTCCTGGTTAGCCCGTGATTCAATATTCCAGAGCCAAACCACCTCAGCACGCTCGTGCCTCGCGAACAGCCACAAGTTAGTGTTCCCTCCCTCCGCCTTCGCTCTGCTCATACTCTCAACAGTTGTGGAAGAATGTTCGCGATCCTTCACGGCCATAGCTATCTCCTCGTCCTTTCTGGCATAGACGAAAACACGACAAAGACTCGCTTACTGCTCTCCTCCCCATCTGAAGATACTACTGTCATGTAGAGCGCCACCTCTACATCGACTATCTTAGAGACAAATGTACCGCATGATCCACGGACTCTTAGCAGCAAGGTTAGAAGGCGCTTTCTCCAAGTCCGTGGGGGTTCGTATCCATCAGCACTACAGCAAATCTTCTTTTCCGAACAGCTCGACAATGACGATCGAGAACCCCCGCCATCCCTCTTAAATACTGTAATGGTGTCTCCCATCTTGCTTGGTCCCGTCAGCTTTGGTTCCACTTTACAACACTTCTTCGAAGGTCATGCGAGTTAATGCTCACCTTGGTATGGCCGGCTTCACGGCCTTTCGATTCACAGAGGAAGACTTGTTCCCTACCAAGTTCGACGTTCTGAGGCTCCTTGTCTCCTGTCTCATCCATGAATTGACTGGCGAGTCTCTGCAACTCACTGTGGCCCGGCATTATGAGACAAATTAAAAAGAGATTGAACCCGTGCCATCCTATTATCGTAGGTGGAAGCGGACACGGTAGGATGAGATAACTTTAGACGACCTTATATTTAGGTCATCGAGACCATGGGTTTACAACCCTCCAAGGCACCCTATGTACTATGTACTTGAAAAATAGGATTCAGGCACAAATCGTCACCATTACTTCAGTAGAAAATGCGCTTTGTCAAGGCTTCTCTTTCTTTTGGCCCGTATGGATAAGCAAAGCCTAGGAGGGGGGATTAGCGTGTGAAACTGGAGAATAGATTGAGTCCCACCTGGCACCATCGGTGAGTGACTCATGGAGAGGGTGTTGGTTCCATTTTAGTGGAGTTTTGTAAGACAACTTTTAACATAAAATTCTCTCAGCATGTCTACTAGTGCTTATTTATTCCGTAATGCCACTCTTAATCCCCCCTAGAGGCCTTATCTTGATATTGTTCTCTACCTAAGGTATAGAGACTTTTCTGATCTTAGACTGCCCCACAAACGTGTCTACGGGATCTGGGAGTCTGTTCACTACTTTTCCAAATGCGAGTCGCTGACATTGTTCTGCCCTAGTGCGGATTGCATTTGTAACCTTCAATATGTGAGGCTAGTCTAACTCACCTTTAACCTACTCACTTTGGGGATGCATTTAAGGCCAAGAATAGACTATAAATGGAGTGATTAACAGCTTAACGAAGAAGACTCCTGTGCAGTAAAGAGAGCCAATGCATGCTCAGCCTGACTCTTCGCCGGATATGGAAAAGCCTTCAGGCAACAACGCGCTATCTTCCCAGCCGTAGGGGTATACACAAAATATAAGTGCCTCGTGTCCATTCAATCATCTCGCTACTAAGGTGATTTCCCATACCATAAGCTGTAGGTCTAGTGGTATGTCTACGGGTCTATCTATGACTCAACAGGAGATCTTTGTCGAGAACCTACTGGCCAAACTTTATGTATTGCACTAGAAAC